AAATTATGCAAAAGTCGTTAACGAACTTCTTACATTCGTGCATCGTATATTTATAAGATATTTTAACCTCCGTTTGCGATAAATCTGCTGTACCCGTCTTCGTAAATCCGCGAGTTAAACCCGTATATCTTTGGCATCGATCGCGAGTCCCCCTTACTGCTGCTGGGTCTGCATGATCATTACGATATAACTGAATGAGTCTTTCATCCTGACTGAGCTCTGCATTTCTCAGTTGCTCCCTTCCATTTGTTTAGTTCCTTGTATTAAAGCGGCTCCCACAAAGAAGTTTCTTGACACTCTGTTGCGTAAGTCTAGTGTATTCAGTTTTAAGTAAACTTTATTTTCTGAGTGGGTTTATCATTTACGACGCAAGACTACTAGATAGAGGTCTTTTCATTTGGCGAAAAAGAGAGAGCGAACTTATCTAGAAGACTTAGTTATCAAGTCGACAAAGCTAAGCTACTATCGGTATCACAAACGAACCGCATTCCAACAGCTGAAACCCCCTTGCAGTGCAATATTAGTACATATCACCGCTTCTTTCAACCCAAGTCACTGCCATGCAATGCTATTATGTCAATAATTTATGCAAATTCGACAGTAAGGTTGAAAAGTGAAAGGAAGTTGAACTTTAGGTCATAATGTCAATGTTTGCCCAGTAGTGTTCGATACAGCTGGAGTCCTTGTATCATGCATGGTGGTAGTCATAGACGTAAGTTGAAAAGCTTAATGAGCTGAGACTAAACGGAATTTTTGTGCCTTTATGTTTTCTGGCAAAAATGCGAAAAATCACATTTCTAACTTTCGATCTAAATGACGAAACTACGTTGTTCGGATGTGAATATAGTTACATTTTGCAGCGTGTTACTTGATTTCAGATTTCAGATCTCCAACCGACAACTTTTTTAAAAGAGGCTGTGAGGTGTATGTTATATTTACAGTCGAATCTAGAACAGTTCAGATAACTCTCTATTTTGGACAATTCTTGGATCCCACTTTTTCGGCAGATTCGTGTCGTAAACTGGTAGGGTCCTTGACTAGTTTATGTGGAACGATGGGAAGTTTGTATACAATTTTATATTTTACCTGTGATTTTTGTGAAGCAAATTTTTTTAAAAAGTTTAATAAACAGCTTAATTAGTTATATATTCCACTGTGGTCAGCCTTGCTGACCCTTTGTACTTACAGTGTGTAATAATTTTGTATTCAGAATTTTGTCCCGGTCTGAAGCAAGTCAGTTGTGTAATGCCTGATTTAAGGTATTAGTAGATATAAAGTTCTCTCATACAAGTGGCCCAAAAAGGCCGAAAAATGGCCATTCGTTTAAGGTCATAGGTAGTGCATATGAGCAAGATCCAGCACAGTTAAGAGAAATATTCTTTGGTAAGAGGTGCATGACAAAACCCGCTGTGACAGAAAAAAAAACTTCTCAAAAAAAATTACGGCAAATCGTGTCCAGGTTTAAATTAACGCATTAAAGCATGACTTGCAAGAAAATGTTCGAAGTTTTAATGACAGAAGAATAAATCTAATCATCCTACTTTTCCTTTTATCTTGCTTCTTTTTTGGCAGTTTCGTTATTCCTTATTATCCTTTCATGTCTTATTCATTTCTTCAAAATCTTCACGTAAGCACGTGACTTTGGATATGGGTGATGGAGGAGAAAGTTTTTTTTTTTTGAAAAGTGAAAACGAAGAAGATTAGAAAAAGTATATGAAAACACTATATATTTAATAGAGAAACATAACTATCGTCAACAATCTGAATGGCAACAACTCGAAATACAGATCTAGCTCTTAAGTTATGAAAACTACGGAGGTACCGTTAAGAGAATTGCTTGAGAGAATCGGACAAATAGCTCTACATTGAATCGAGTTCAAAGCAGTATACTCATATTAGCATATGCAACCTGCATATTGCAACTACTTCTGAAACTTTCTCAAAACACAGTCAATTTAATAATTTTATATACATTGCAAGAAAATTTTTATTTTTATGAGAAACAATCATCTAACGAAAATAGACTAAAACATGAACACCCTCAATGTAAATGGCATAACTGAAAGCCAGAAAATTCGCTCCAAACATTCACTTGAAGCATTTTGTTGAGTCTCGAAGATATTGAATATCGACCGATTTGTTCCTATAAGGCCATGGTAGAATTTGTAAGAGCCCTCTCACTAAATATAGTTGAGTTAAGCATAAGATGTGACGTTTGCAGCCAATGAAATATTAATGTAGTCTGTTATTACTGACGGACGTCTGCAAGCCTCAGTTTACAAAACTATAACTTTCAAATCGAAGTCAGTTTTGGGCTTTTACTGCGTTTTTTGTGGAGTTGCTGCAGAAACACTTTAATAATACAAGGTTACCACGTTTTGCTGCTAATTTTGTGTTCCAGTTTAAGAGAATAAAAATCAATTAACGTCCGTGCCTACTGGAATAACAACTCGGCATGTTGTCCCAAATTTGCACAAATTTCACTACAGAATTTCCCAGAATTTCTAGAACATGTTGCAAAAGTTGAAATCGTGCATCAAAGTATTAACTCGAAACCTCGTGTATTTTAAATGTAGAAGGAAGTACAAAAGTCCACTTACTGATTCCATAGTGCGGATATTTTGGGCGGTGCTGATAGTCTCGAAGCTGCACCTGGGCATTGTAAGTATTAATTTCTTCAAATATTCTGCTGGCATAGTAATCATTACCATTCTCCCAGTAGTTGTTATTGGTGACCATTGGATTTCCGCCGTCGTAAAAGCACGACCCCTCTCTCTTCCTTGTCTTGTGCAGCGCAGCAAATGGCTTGATATCTTGGCATGTGTCATAGTAATCCGCGGCGTACATGTTTCCAGGGCAAGGTGGAAACCCAGACCAAGGTTCCTCGATCTCTTGTTTGATTTCTCGGCCTGTAGCCCACTCTCCTACAAACTGATGTCTTTGCATACGTGCGGTGTGTGATCAATGACGATGATTACAGATCACGTCTCTTCTCATATATATACTTGTGCAACAACCCCTGCTGGCTGCGCCCTTGTCTCATGGAAGTTGCTTAGCAACCAAGGAAAGTCATTAGTACCTATGAACCGAGTGGTCTATCATTTTGGTACGTTTATTAGTAGAGAATCCTTAGCAATATCCTAGTTGAAAATTATATTTGATTTAAGATTTTTTTGATCATGATGTACCTCGTAGCATACCAGTATGAAAGAATTTCTTTTTATCGTGGAACTTGCCATAAAACACTGCCATTATGAAATACTGAAGTAAACTTGACTGAATTAAAAATTTGTCGGCGGCGCAAAGGAAGAAGAAGATGAGGTTTTGGAGTATTTATAGTAGCCCGATAAGAATATCTAGTCAAATGGTACATTTTTGTATTGCTGGGATACGGGATATACTTGATTCTCATTTCGATCTAAACACAGTTTTATACACTTGATTATAGCAACCGTCTAGTAATCTTTAGTAACCGCAACGAGTAGGTGTTTCGTCTGCAGTGAGCTTATAAAAATGAAGCCTGGGAGTCGCAATGCCGTTCAGACAAAGATTAAATCAATTATTGGATCAAAAGATTTAATTCTCCAGAACTATAGTCCAAAAGGAAATGAAATTAGACAAATTTTTAATTTTAGTTTAAAATGCAGGTGCAAAGTGGAGAAATCCTTCCAGAAGTAAGTACGGCTATTTTTAACGGTTATTATTACAACCCACGCAGTATTCGTGAGCTATTTTTGAAAACCTTCAAAAGGAAAATTGAATCAAACTGTTGAAATGATCCCGTATTTTTAAAAAACCTTCAAAGGGAAAATTGAATCAAACTGTGGAAATTGTTCCCGTGACGTTTGTGAATACGTCAAAGTAAAACAAATCTATTGGTACTTGCCGCAGCAGTTTGCGTTGAATGAGTAAAGGTATTTTAATTCATTGGGCCACCTATTGATCGAGTGTCACTGAGCATTGTTCTTGTATACCTAACAACAATACCTTCACTCGTATTGACTTTTAGTGAACAAGCTCGGCGAGGCAGGTGGGATTATCAATACACCTTCCTTCACAAGAAGAGGATTGTTCTAGTAATGCTGCGAATGGAACTCTAAATAAGGCTGTTTTTTTTTTTGATTGAATTCTTAATGCAACTGAGAAAGATAACTTTTCGAATGAAAGAGGAAATTTCTAGAGGATATGCTTAAACTAGTTTAAAGCTGTGAGTATTACGCACCCAAAGTCACGCCGGGGTTTGAAGTATCTGTGCTTGTCGTGTTTTATGTTGCGAAATACCGAAGTGCTTGGTGTCAGCCCTACTTGCCACACGCTGAGGCATAAAGGATAATGATACATGCAAGATATGACTCAATTCGCGCGAGTTTGAGGAGTTGAAAAGTTGAATCCCTTTGAAAGTTACTTTTTGATTCGATAAAGCGAAATAATCGAGTGGGCCGGGCTATTTTGTATTTTATCTAGGGGTAGTGTATGGCAATTTTAACAAGTACCTTTTCTATTGAAGCCTCGTAATATTTTTCTTATTTATTTATGTTTTCACTAACGTTTTGCGTCCTCCCATCAGTCTTCTCGCGAAACAGACGGTAAAGAATTATGAATCAGTCATAGCTCCTTTCAGCCTTTTAGTTGCAACCGCAAACTACAGCAATGTCAATCGCTAGAGCAGACGAGGTCAGACGTAGACTTCAAACAACCTTTTGCACAGCAATCCCGCCGCATTCCTGCAAGGCCAGCTGAATTAGTCAGTTCACTTGCGCGGGTCTCCTTAGCAAAGAATTGATTTTGGCCACGGATTACATTTGAAAAATTGCTAGTAAAGGTGAGGTAGAGTCAGTGAAAATGTTTTAGTCTTAAATTAACAAAAATGAATCAATAAAATGTGTGATAAGGGGGAGGAGGGGAGGGGAGTTGATTTTCAAAACCCGGCAGGCAGTAGAGTGCACACCATATATCCTTGCAGGGGCGGATACAGAAGGGGTGGATTGGGTGGATTTCCACCCCCCTTTTTAAAGTGAAAGTGAATATTTTTAGGAAAACAGAAGAATATGATTGCATCTAATTAAAAAACATGTCAAGAGTCAAAATTTAGCTGCATTCACAAGTTAGTATGCAGTACACTGTATGTTATAATTTAATCATTTTTTACCTTTGTACTGTAAAAAGAAGGCTCAAAAGAACTTTATAAAAATTATCCACCCCCTTTTTAAAATCCTGTATCCGCCCCTGCCGTGAAATAGTTAACTAACAAAATTGTACAAATGTAGTGCAAAGTTTTTAGGCCTGTAGTCTAAAGAGGTCTATTGAGCTTACTAATTTGTGCAATTTCTTACGAAGTTTTTCACGGGCGTATAATATGCATCGCAAGAAAATCGAATACATGTACACTTTGCCGGTTAGTAACAATGACAGTACCAAGATCGTTCAAACCTGATGATGTGTTGCCAACTTCTTCCAGCCTTGACAAGTGTGCCTCATACAGTGTAAGATACTCGTGATCGTCTGATTTAGCAACTTTGATGATGCCAGGGTGCTGACGGACGTCATCAAGAGACCCTTCTGATCCTCCGTCAGAAAAATCTGCAATACATGCATCAAGAAATCCGCGTTACTGCTCAGTGCTCTAAGCTCATGTTCAAAAAGGGGTCAAAAAGTGGAATAATGGGTTGAGAAAATTGCTGTATTTTAATTGTATTTTTTCTTAAAATAAATTTCTTTGATTGACGGCAACAATGATTGTCGCAAGACCAAAGAAATACGGCTTATTCACCTATTGGGCACTCTTAGTCCCAACGGGATTAATGAACGCTTTGCTTTTAACTAATCCACGCTTTTGTCTTTCGATTGTTTCTTTCGTTTCCTTGCCCACCTTGTTCTCATTGGTTTGTTTTGTCTTGTTCTATCATATAAACACTCCTTTCTACCACCTCTTTCTCTTTTACTACGACGAAGGACTAGCGTCCGAAACGTCAGTAAGTTTTTTTATCTTTTCACGGTGTAAGATTTACTCTTATCCCACACGGCTTACCGCCTCATATGTCTAGTACCTTTTATCATTACTTAATTCCAAATCAAATATTACAAAATATGGCAATTTTTACAACCCATGACCCCACTTTTTGACCCCTTGAGCATGCGCTTTGAGCAGTATTGCGGAACTCTTGATGCATGTATTCAATTAAAATTAAAAGAGTGTATATTAAATGAACGCTAAAGGCGATACATTAAATCCGTAGCCGTGTGAATCAGGGGTGGTGTTACAGTAGTGCACTCATCTTTCACCACTGGAGTCGCAGGACTCGGTATTAAAATGTGAGTACTCTAGAAGGTTTTAGTTCTCTCCCTCAATAGACCCCTTGCATGTTACATCAAAGCAGCTCAATTTGGAGGATCTCTAGCGGCTTGAATCCCCCCGCAAAACCTAACACGCTAAATTTCAACCTGTGAGTTTATAACCGGGCCCTACTGGATGTTTCAGATGGTTCAAATTAGATGCCAGTTTTGGATGATATGATGATAGTGCAGTAGCCGTACCATATCTATATGATTTACACGAAAATAACTAATGCATGTACTAATATTATGGGATAGTGACTATGTTCTTAAAATATGAATGTCTTTGTTCTTATTAATAACTATTCCCATTCATTTATTCATTTTTATTCATTTATTCATTCATTCATCCATCCATTCATTATTCTATCCATTCATTCTTCTATCCATTTAATCATTCATCCATCCATCAATCCATTCATTCATCCATTCATTCATTCCTCCATTCAATCATTCATTTATCCATTGTCATAGTGTTATTTACCTTCCTGGTCTTCATTTGCTCTACGATTCGATTCTTCCATTTTCTCCATCAGTCGATCGTCGTGTTTAATCATCAAATCCAAGTTGCCACCAGATCTCCCACTTGGGGATTCTTTGACTGTTGACGTGCCTCGACTATCATCGAGAAGAAATACGTAACGTGTACGCCTATGATCTACTGGGGAATTACCAAGAGCAATGGGAGTAGGAGCTGGTAATATAAACGACAATAGATTGAAATGGGTCATCCTGAGAGGACTGAGGTGGGGAGGGGTTGATGATAGACAAAAGAATGGGTCATCATGAGAGGACTGAGGTGGGGAGGTGCTGATGATAGACAATAGAATGGGTCATCATGAGAGGACTGAGGTGGGGAGG